TAGGGTGAGTGCTCACCATCCTGCTCACCCTGGTCACTCGCACTCCTTGGGGCAGGCTTTTAACCAGTTAGGGCTGATGCCGCTCCTCCTGGCTCCACCCCGTGTGAGTCCCTGCTCATGTCAGCTGAGCTGCCGGCTCCTGGGCAGGTCCTGTTGAGGACTTGAGGCTCCCTCGGTGGCTCTTGCCACTGAGTTGAGGCTCCTGGATGCTGATCTTCCCCCTACTCAGGTGTTGAAGGCATCCTCTCTCAAGCTACTCACCTCAGCAATTGTTAACCCAGTTCTTATGCTTATAAACGTTCACAGCTTAAGTTTTATGCAGTCTAGGTAGCCTCCCATAGAACATCCTTGAAGCATACCATTCACACTTGGGCTACTAACACCGTGGGATTTTAACTACCTTGTGCTGCTTGAGTCATGCTGTGCTGCTTGACTGTTTTCACAGAGGAGCTGCTTTGTCAGAACCAATTGTTACACTGATTTTAATCCCGCTTTAAAGACCTAACTTCAGCTAACTGCAGCAAAGGCGCAGACTGTTCTGTAAGAATACCAGAAGCCATGATGCTGTTAGGGCATCATTCAAACTGAAGAGCCAAAATAAAAGGCATTGAGGGAGCATATATTAACTGCACAGGGAGTATTTATAAGGGAAAAGTTACCAGAAAACACATTTGGGAAAGGCATTAAACACCATTAGCTTTATATCATCTGAGCTTTATGGCTTTTTTTTAATGCATTTGCCTTTACTCACGCATCTCACTGCCTGCTCACTTCTGGTTCTTCAACAATAGACCTAAACCTGTAAAGCAGTAGCTTCAGGTTAACCTGTACCTTTACTTTTCCAGCACCTCATGATGCCTTCGAAGTACTGGGCACAGACAAGTGCCCACTGGGTATGAATTGAATGCTAGAGCAGTACAAGACTAACTTCAAATCTGTGAGCATGTTTTGGACCAGTGGAGCAACAGCAGGCATGGATGAAAGAATAAAAAAGTCTGAGAACAGACACACATCACCTTAGTGCCCTTTTCCTTGGGCACTTCCTCACAGTGCTCTGATCTTCCCCCTCTGTTAAAAGCAGTAGAGGGAATGAAGATCACTAGCTCCTGCCACATTGCTACAGACAAAGACCAGTAAGAGAACAAGAGTTTCTACTTGAAATCAGACAACAGGACTTAGATGAAGAATTTTAAGTTCCCTTATAAGCTTAACAGAACAGCCTAAGATGCAATTGGCAGAGAAGAATTAAGCAAATTTTAAAATGAATATTCAACAGGAAGTACTTTGAACAAAAGGTTCAGATGAACCCTGACAGTTATCTTTAGCCTTAGAGAAACCATGCTGCCTTAGGTTCAGAAGCCTTCCCTATCACAGAAGGCTAAATTAATTCCCTTTAAGGGACAGGATCCCTAAACAGGAGATACAGTCCAACCACAATGTTCAAACACCTACTATTTGCAAAGTGAAAGAAATCAGAGTATTATTCATTCTGAAAAGAGAACAGCTGAAATAATTTAGTTCTGTTAACTCAGCTACCAAGTTCAGTTTTTCATTAAATATCCCAATCACCTCCACCTACCACGCACCGGTTTAGTTCACAGCCAAATTAAAATTTACTCTAGGTACACATCTAAATGTGCTCAAATACCATAACAGTCCAAACCAATTAATGGTCTACTAGACTGTTTTGAACCATAAATTAAGTTAGATGTCAGATGATCTTAAGAATTCATTAGGAGAACAAAGACAGGTCAAATACTTCAAGTGCTCTCTGCATCCAACAATAGGTTTGAAGAATTTTTCTGAGGCAACACAAAGTGTTCAAATGTGTTATTCCTGGTACTACCCAAAGCACCAAAACTGTTTCAAGGACAACTGATGCCTGATGACCCACAACCTTCTGACAAAGATGGGCCTAAATGAGTCAGAGACCTTTACCACTGGCATTAACAAGTCTTTTATCAGTCTCCTTAGAGCAGAGCTGTGACAAAAAGGGAAAACACATGATCTTCTCCATCTCAGTTATTGTAGAGTGTAGCCCTGGGACTAATAGTGCTCTGTATCAGCCTTTTCTGCTTCTAGACTTTCAGCTCTGGAGCTTTGCTAATGAGTGATGCTCTAGAGCAGTTATACAAACCAACTCATCTTGCTAAAAACATTTCCTGATAACACTACCGTGTCACTGCATCTTTGTACATGTTTTCAAAATTAAGTAAGCACACTTAGCTACAGCATGTTCCCCCATAAGGAAATAACCACTATACCTGTCAGAGAGAAAATTTCCTATTGGAAGTCTTCAAAAACAGTCATTGTGTAAGCTAAAGATGAGAAGAAACAGTCTAAGTATAGAGAAAGGGAATGTTACAATCAGCCTTAGCTGGTATCCACAAACAAAAAGGGGGGAAAAAAATCAGGTCCTCAAAGAATTTATAAATAAAAACACCCAAGAGAGAACAAATAAATCTCAGTCATTCTTAAAGCTAACCACTAAAATCACCTAAAACCACAGTAAAAATCTAAAAGAGTTACGCATAAATATATCTTCTGACATAACAAAAACTTGCAAGGAAAATAAACCCAACCTGAGAAAGGTACATCTCTCAGAACAGTAGAACTCCAGCCCCTCCACAAGGAAAGCCATCCGTCTGAAGCCACTTTACTGCTGACACACAAGTACAGTAGCTTGGAGGAGAACTTGCAATACTGCATTCTATTTCTGATCAGCTCCAGGGGGCTCACAACGGTAATGGAACCAACTGCAAATGAAAAAAAGGTGGGGTTGTTTTTTTTTTTTCTAAATCAACTTTTACTGGTAATATTTCTGGAACATAAACGTAAGGTCTCACCCTGCTTTATACATTTGATTCACCTCTCTCATTTGAAATAATTCCCCAAATAAGCTTCCTTTCCAGATAAGAATACTGTATCTATTCACAGTACCTGATCTTTATGGACTGACAAGTTACCTACCTTTTTTCAATACTGGCATATTGAAATCCACGCCACATGTTAAGAATCATCATTTTCGGATTTATTGCATAAATAGGCTGACAATTTCAAGCACTCATAAAAAGTAACTTTCAATAATTGCCATTTTTAAGTGCAACTTGAAGAAAGTGAGCTTGGGGTTTTGTTTTGGTTTGTTTGCTTGTTTCTGTTGTTAAGGACAAAAATGATGGCTAGAGATTAAGTTTTTATTGATTTCTAAGCATCTTCTTAGCAATTTCTAAGCAACTTCTCCCGAGTAACAAGTGATAGGACAAGAGGTAATGGCTCTAAGAGGAAGTATTCCAAAACCATGCAGATGAGGCCCTCACTGATATGGTTTAGTGGTGGTCTTGGCAGTCCTGGGGTAATGGCTGGATGTGATGATCCTGAAGGTCTTTTCCAACCTAGCTGATTCTGTGATATTTGCTATTCTTATTTTAAACTATCAAGAATGTATCTGATAAAGTAACTCTCCTTTACCTGGTAGAAAGTGAGTCACCACTCACTAACAAGCTCCCATCACACATGTAACAGACTTCAATGATTTTACTAGATCCAAGCACTTCCCTCCTATTGCTGGGGTAAGGTTTCCTTGATATGTGAATTTAAAATCCAGAGCAGCCTAATAAGAAAAATTTGCCACATCAGCACAGAATAACAATTCTTTTTCCGGTAGTCTTCCAGTCCCCCCTGTATTTTCACAAGTAGAATATAGAACTAAATCCTTAAGTGTCTTCTAAGAAAGCCCCAAAACGTAAGACCTGAGCTACTTCTGTACAAAAATGTATGAGGAAAAAGATAAACCAAAGTAAGAAAATATAAATAGAAATTAATTCCCCATTACATCATACAGCAATAAAACCAGTACAAGTCCAATTTTCACTTCCCATGTAATTACCTATGTAGCTTCCATTATAGAAAATAATGCTGTTTATTATTAGATTCATAACAGAACAGAATTAAACTGTCCTTGGCAGAACCCTAAAAACACAAAATTCTGAACAAATTACAAATGTTGTGGAAGTGTAACAGTAAAACTAAATCACATTATTACAGATTGGAGGGTTATGTTGCCCAAGAAATACTGGGTAATTACAGTATTCCTTCTTATGCCCAGCTTCATGTAATATTATCCCTCATTTAAAGCCACACAAATTTACTTGATAAACCCAAGAAAACAGCATACAGGTATTTTATTTCAGTTTTTTCTTTAAACAAACGGCAACTTACATCTGCTTAATGAACCTGCAAGAACTGGAACGTGCTCATCATCCTTTCCTAGTCCAGATTTCAAAGCTTCACTCAGTTGGTTATAGCAGGTTTACTGTGGTAGGGAGTGCCATTATTCTAAAAAATAAGAAAGGGAATCTAAATTAATACCAGGAAAGCAGAAGATAAAGTCAACCATCTTTATCGACATTTTGTAAGGAAAAGAGAATTACAAGAAGAGATCTGATAACAACATTGAAATATGTAAACTGCTCTTGTAGAGAGAAAATGAATGATCCATTTTTCATGACAAAGAAAGAGGATTCTAGTTAGATGTTAAAAAAAAGGGGGGGGGAAATGAGTGTGGAAAGAGCTGCTGATAGCAAGTCATTAGTCACAATTTACAGCAGCAAATACCTATAAAAAACTAGCATTCTCTAACAATCATGTTCAATCCTAGGATTCGATGATGCTCAAGGGGATGATTAAGTATACCACCTCTAAAAGGAAGAACGAAAAGCCTGATGTTCCTGTTTAGCTACTGAGAATGTATCTAAGAAGTTACAACGAGAAATCTCAGGATTGGGCAAAATTATTCTGTCTCTAGATGTTTTTGATCAAACTGATTACATCATTATCTGTAATTTCAGAATTAACCACATTTTTAACATCACTTCAAAAGAAACATACTAATTTGTCTAAATAATGAAGTATTTTTTAAACAATAATTCATAACATGTTACCAAAAAAAGAATATTCAATTTACAGTGTTAGGGGAAGTCCTCTCCACAGTGACTTAACTCCCTCTCTTTGAGTAATTTTCACAAATGCATCCTAAAAATACAACCAGCAAACAGCAACAATTAGCTCCAAGCTTTTGTATTCAGTAATATACTTTAGCTGTCAAAAGACAAAATTAATGTATTAAAAAGCGTATTTCTAAAATGGCTTATAATTTTAACATCTCACTTTTGTAACTGCTTCTGCTAGTTACCATATTTAATCACACATAGGTCCTCTGAGCTGAACAGAAATTTGTGTGATTAAAATCAAGAATTTCTTTCCATCTTTAAAAGGCCAAAGCAGTAAGTTTTTATCAAGGACTGACAGTCCTGTGAAGAAGTCATTTTCAGAACTAATACAGCATGCAGCAACATGTGGAAACATACCCAAAATAATACACTAAAATACTTTTTTTAATACATAACAAAAGTTCTAGGCATAAAATAGCAATTAACTCTCAATGATCCTTCAATACTTGCTTTCTCTGACAACGTGACAACATATGTGCAATGCATCTACACTATACTATATATCTGGTAGCTTACAATGAATATCATAGCTGTCCCTTATGTTCCCAGACCACTGATAGCAGAGAAAACTAAAACTTGAAGTGCAACTGAAACCACCATGAAAATGACAAACTCCTTAATACTAGGATACCTTATTTTCTTAAACATCTGGGGGAAAAAGATTGAGATTTGATGGCTTAGAATATGCTGAAGACCAGACATTATCAAAAGGCCTCAAAACATACAGCCCGACAGACCATAAAAAGGAGTCACAGAAGAAAATGGTGAAGAGCTTTAGAGGAGACAGCTTTGATGGGCAGATCCACTGAAGTAAAAAGTTGCATGGGGAAACAAAGACACGATTTACTAAAACAAGCCTGACTTGAAAAAATGGAACTTTGAGAGGGAGTCAAGAAACCCTAAAAAGTCTTAACATGATTTTACCAAAAAGGGGTGTCTATAATTTTTCAAATAAAATTCTGTAATTAGTTTAGCTAGTTTATATGTTTATAATCCAGCTTCAACAAATTTACAATACAGGAAGGTACAGATAAAACGACTGGAGAAAGGAGGTAACAGAAGCCCATATTTATGTATCTTGCTAACTATATGGACAAATATATCAAAATATTTGTACAGTCCTACCACCAGAAACCTACAATGTCCACTACTATTTGCTTTACTGCAAATTGTTCAGCACTGAGGTTTTTTTTAACGATATGACAGTCATTGCTCTTTATGGATCATATTACCACAGGAAAAATATGCACAAATTCGTATCATTAGAAAACTAAGCAACTTTCTAAAAATTATATAGTAATGTTAAGTAAAAAATTTAAACTTATGAACTTATTAAATAAAAAAGGTAACACTGTAAAACTGCTCAAGAAATTGGCATGACCATTTCATTCCTCTTGGAAATGTAATTCTAAAAAATTATTATCACATGTACAACAGAGACATGTCAAACAATACCTTCACTAATAAAGCTGATCAGTGTCCAACAGCAGGTCTGCTTCTAGTGTCTGGGTAAAATCCTAGTCCTACAAGTTTCAATGGATCCAGAACCTAAAGCATGAATTTAACTTTAAAACACTATCTGCATTGTCAGTTCAGCTCAGCAGCACACTGGTAGCTCTGTGGACAGAAGAGCTGTAAATGGGTACAGAAAACCAGTACCTGCAGGCAGCAACCACTGGTGATGTGACTCAAGTGGCGAAAATAAATCAGAGGCAGTATCCTGTGAGGAGAACTGTGCAGCTGTCCACTTGTTTATCTCAAGGAAGGAAGAAGTATTTTCTTGTAGAAAGTAGGAGGCATCCTTAATCGCCATATAAATTACACTGTAACCACAAAAAAATCCTGTCAAAATGATAACAGATTCTACTACAACTTGAAAAAAAAAAGCCAATAAATTTATAGTATGCTATTTAAAAATGTTTTCAATCTATGGTTTTATATATATGTAAAATGTTCTTACCAACCTCCCTTTGAAATGCCCAGGTTTTTTATACCAGGCTTTGCGGTCCCCATTGTCACAAACACATATATGATCCATAAGGCCATTGGAGTACACAAAACACTTTCCTAATAAAATGGTATATAAGAATATAGTTAATGCTTGTAAAATTGTTCTTAGCAGCAATTTGAAACTGGATATAATGGTAACACAGATTTGTCTCTGGTTAGGCAGGGAGGGACAAAATAATCTTTGGAAATCAATGACAACAAATTAGGTAAAAGGAAAGAGGGAACAAATGTACTCCTCAGAGTGCCAGGCTTAACAAAACTGCGCTTGCATGCTCAAGGAAACATATTTACGCTATATTACCATCTGCTGAAGACTAAAACCAACACAAGACCTGAATGCTTCTACTGTATGTAACTACGTGAACATTTTTCAGATTTTTAAAGCAGCATCTACATTACAAGTGGCGGTGTTACATCTTAGGTTAGACTGCATTTATACTAGATCACCCTCTTTTTATTTCTTCTACGCCATGTACTTTGAACCTGTAAAATACTATTGCCGTTGCAAAAACATACTTTGAGCTTCACATTTACATATTTATGAAGGGTTTACAATTTACAAAAAAATAAAAAAACAACCCAGGACAGAGCACAAGATTTTTCCTGACTCACAGCAAGTATAACCACAAATATTCATCTCCAAGTACAACATGGAATACCAGTTATCTCCTTTCCTTTCAAATCTCATCTATTAATTACAACTAGTAATTATAGTAGAACTCATTGGCATATCGTTGAGCACACACTGTCTTTATCTATTGGCTTCTTCTGGCTGTGGCCAATGACTTAGGAAAGACTACTCTTTTCAAAGTCTCTGGATTCTGGAGGAGATAACTTTAATACTGCATTGTGACCACAAAAGCCTTCTAATAAAATTATTGATAGCTTTTTAAAATTTAAACTCAATAGTAATAGTTGTACCTTCTGCTACAACAAAAACACTAAGACAGGAAAAAGCCTGTTTAAAATGGTATGTATTTACTGCATTTTTTTCTACTGCGTCTGTTCACTGCCACATTCCTTCTTTAGCAATTTCAGTGTGCTGCTGTGCTGCTTCCCCGTGCCCCCCCCTTACTCTGAAGAATCAAACGTAACTATTGCAAAACAAATGAAAACATTCTGTAGCTCAGCATTATGATAATGATCAGCTACATAAAAAAGCAAACTGTGTCTTCCATCACACTACACATTTATTTACCTTTGGAGAATGGATTGCTTTGGGCTTGCAGTCGAGTTTTGGTAACATCAAGAGGAGTTACTAAAATGAAACAGCAGTCATTTAGAAACACTCTGCATGCCCTGAAAATGTGGAAGTGTACAGATGCCTTATTATGACTTTTTATCTATGAAGTTTTTTTTTTCCCCCAGAGGGACAAAACAGATCTGGTTTACAACACAAATTAGTCACACCTTAACTCTCTATTGATGCCTCTCAGCTGACTAACAGGAGGTTGAATGCTTGGCTTACATTCCAGTATCTAAATGTAGGAATGTAAATATGACTCCTGCAGCTCCTTTCAGTGGTTTAAAATTTGGCATCCTGTAGCATTTTAGCCACTCACACCTATTCTGGCTCACCTCCAGCTGCCACTTCAGAAAGGAGCCAGTCTCCTATACCTCTTGAGGTCTCAAATACCAACACCTTATGCTGTACTAGAATCTTACATACACACAATGAAGATCCATCTTGGGAATTACACAGGTCTGATGTAGCTTTGCTTGCTACTTTACCTAACATCATGGGACACAGTATAAATACAGAATAAAAAGTGAATCAGTTTGATAGTTTTGTTATCAGATCATATTTTGTAAAAACTTGGAAATTGTGGGTGAAAAAATCATGCTTAGAAAATTGCACGCTTCCCTGCTGCATAATCTGTGTAAAAAGTCGGAACCAAAGCTTAGCTTAAGACAAAATTAACTGAAATATGAAGTATAACTCCAAGGGACACGAAGTGCTGAAGCTAACCAAACAACACCTTCTTAGGTATGCATGGGGAAGGAGGTCCTGAGTGAGATGCCTGAATATGAAGTAAAAGATTAATTCCACAGACTATGTAGAAGTCTAAATGACTAACAAAAAGCTATCCTTAAAGGAAATGCTTAGGGAAAAACAAATAAACAAAGAAAGAAACCCAATAAAAGGCTTTGTCAGTGTAGGACATCACAGAAGAATAAATTCATGTTACTACTGAAGTGTAGTAACTACATGAAGGAGACATCTCACAGAGGTTGGTCTTGCAGGATTTGTGTCATGTGCTATAAAGTAGACTTAGTTAAAATTTATTTTTAAGCAGCAGGAAATGTGGAAATTAATTTTTATTATTAGTTTTGTTTCTTGCAGAAAAAAAGCAATGAACTACTACACTGAGAGGAAAAAAACAAAAATAACATAGAAATGCAAATGTAATAAAAATTTTTCTTATGTTCAGAAATGGTTAGAGATTTCAATTATCCATGTTTATTAAAACACAAAAAAAAACCATGAGAAACCTACGCAAGAACATCCTTGTTGAACATATTAGTGGAAACATAGAAACTCTGTAACTCGGGCATCACACTGAGTCACACTGATGAGTAATCAGTATCGCAAAGATTCTCCCTGTGGCAAGCTTGATAGTTTGCCTTACCAAATAATAATGTAATAATAGCTCCACAATATGAAGCTATTACTTGCTGAATAACGGTTGTTTTAGCCGAGTTGCTATCACTCATTTCAGCCACGGCTTTATCTTTGGAGAAGAAAAACCTGTTAAAGAACAGAAATACACTGCAAGACCATGATCAAAACTTGCAGAAAAATCAAAAGAAGAAAAAATTTTATATTTTCATTAACATGTATAGGCAGCAATAATGTAAATATTAGTTTTCTACATGTATGCAACAAGCACCTTTATTTTTTTCAGATTTGAGCCATGTTTTGTAAATAATCTGAGTTTTCTAAATGACAATAAAACCTCCAAATCCTTCTTACATTAATTACACTGTTTATCTTTTTTGTAAGCTGCATTAATTAATAGGCATTGCTTCTTGCTTCAACAAACGGCTTAGAAGCACATAAATAACCTGTACAAATATAACTTCACAGTCTGTGGCCCATAAACAGTAGCACAGCAGAATAATTCATCTAGCCCTTCTCTTGCCTTTGTCATTTCTGTAAGAAAACCCTGAGAGGTCTCCTGGTTGAATGATACTACATACCCTGGCAAGAAGTTCACGTAATAAATGGTGACTAACTAGTACACATGCTATCATGCTATCAATTCCTTGAACAAACCCTACTGTATGGCTGCATAAGCATGGTTACCTTAAGAATGTACTTACAGTACCTAAAAATAAGGAGCTTATATATTCCCTGGATCTGCAACCAGCTAGGGAAGGAAAAAGTAATAAATAAAACCATTTCAGAATTTATAAACCCCACGTAATGGTATATCTACTAGCATGTCTAAGTGCAGCTGTAATTTTATCAGTTGGCATTTATCCAAACTTTTTATTTGCTCTACAGGAACATGTTTTCCTCTTCTCACCAAGTTTCAAGTAAAGGATAAGAAAGATTCAAATAAAAGATAAGAAAGATTAAGCTCCGTAAACCAGGATTTGCCTCTCAGATGCTAACAACTACTAACGGGAGGTGGAGGGGGGGGGTGTCGAGAGGTGTTTTAAACTGTACCTTCAAGCTTACAGCGAAACTGCTCTCCAGAGCAATATATACATAACCCGTCTGCAAGCAGCGAAGCTCCCTCACCCGGCCGAGGCCCACAGGGTCCCGTGGCGCCACGCCTCGGCCATCCGCCCTGCCCTTCAACCGCGTAGAGCTGCGAGGAACGGCAGCCTGAGCCGCGGGAGGTGCTGAGACCGTTCAGTTCTTCGGCTTGCCTGCACCGGTGGGAAGTCGCTGAGCCGGCAGTTTCTCCTGGACAACAATCCTCTTTACACACAGACCTTGCCGCGACCGGGAGGAAAGACTCTCCACCGTGATTTTCGCTGAGGGCTCGCACCTGCCCGCTAGGTCACTGAAGCGGGGTGAGGAAAGTGAGGTGGTAATGCCCGCTGACCTCCGGCCCGACCACTCCTGGGGCTCCTCTCCCTCCGTCGCCCTCCCCTTCGCGGGAGGGTCTCGGCCGCGGCCTCGCCGCCTTTCACCCCGCCCCTCCCCGCCGCGCTCCTCCCGCCGCCCCGAGCCTCGTGACGGGCGCGCCAGGCCGACCGTTGGTGGAGCGCGCGGTTGGCGGCGGGCGCTCTGTGGGACTGCGCCGCTGCTCGCGGTGGGAGGGGGAGCGGGGCCTCGCGTGGCGTGCCGGGGCTGGCGGCGGCGGGAAAGGCTGGTGAGGCGGAGACCCGCGGCTTCCACAGTGGCTGCCGCGGAGAGGGCCGAGAGCCGCGGGAAGGGCGGGCGGGCGGGCGGGCGGGAGGGAAGAGGCTTTAAGTGCTGGGGAGCTTAGCGGCTCTGCTTAACCCCGCAGGTGTGGCGGCGGGGGGACCGGCGAGGAGGATGTGACTTCGCAGGAAGATGAAACCAAGCGTTGTGGAGGCTGCCGACGAAGGAGCGCGTCCCTGTAAGCGGCGAGTGGCTGGGGCGGCCCAGCGTGGTGGGAGTGGTGGGGTTCGGGCCTTTCCCACAGGCAGCGAGGTCGCTTTGAGCTAGGCCTCGTGCTGGTGCCTCCTTCCTACTGTGGCTGTGAGACCCTGACGTGAGCCTAGCAGGCAGGCATGCCTCGGGCGGGCTTTGTAAGTGGTGTACAGCTAAAACAGAGTTTGCATGCTTTGCGGAATTGAACGTGAAAGTGTGGACCTGGAAAGGGAGCTAGCCCAGTTGCTCTGTTTCACAAGATCCTTGCAGTGCAGAGAAGCTGGTAACTATGTTAAAATTCGCTAGGCCACAGCCATGCAGCCAGCTCCACCTCGGCGGTCTTTGCTGGGATCAGGAGCATGCATGGAAGACACGCGAGGCCCATGTCATTAAAATTCATTCGCTTTACAAGAGAGCCACTTTACTGCAGTACTGCAGACTTACCCCAAAATTCTAACTATACCGAAGTTTAATATGTATTTTCCAATATTAAATTTAGTATTTAATGTGTTAATGTTTGAGCTGCTTTGGCCAACACGTTTTTGTGCTTCGTATAACACCATGTTTGATCCCTGGTCATCCGTGGAATTTCACTTGCATACCTGCTTATCTTCTATCTTTTCTGTTCACATTTGGAATTGATTGCACTATCCTATGCCTCCCCATTTTCCTGTTTCTCTAATTCTTCTGGTCTCCTGGATTCTACAAAGACTGCTCTTCCTGCTTCACTTACTGTATTCATAAGTTACTTACAGAATCCTGCAGCATGAGTGGTTGTTCTGCTCTCTCTTCCATTTAAGATCCTTCCGGGGAGGGAGAGAATACATAACAGAGGGACTGTTTTGTGTATTGGCTCTTTGTCTCCAGAAAAGGCCTGCTCACTTCCTGTAGCAGCCCTCTGTTTCTAGCTTCTTAGAAGAAAAGTAGGTTGTCAGTCAGTGAGGAAGAAAAGAAAGTGTAAAACTAAGAATGTACAAGTCTTGGGTGATTCTGTCTTTGCCATTGTAATTGGATTCCTGTGGAAGTATGTAAGAACAGCCAAGGTATAATTATTTTCACCTAATAATGTTATTTTACTTTCCAGCTATGTTTAGCTACAGGGACTTCATGAGTTGCATGTTACTTCTGTGCATTTAGGACCCCGCAAAATACTCTTTTTGCTTGTATTTCTGCAGCCTTTCTTTGAAATTGCATCTTGGCATCGATAGCATTCTTTGGCAGCAAGCTGCACAGGTTTTCCCTGTTGCACAGAGAATCAATTCCTGGTTTTCACTTTGTTCCTGACTCCTAGTTTTGTTTGGTGCCCCATAGCTCTTCTTCTGGAATAGGTTTAGCCATTCTCTCTGTGTTCTTGATTTTGGATCTCTGTATTGTTTTCCCCCGAAATAATTTACTTTTGCAGACTGACAAAGTCTTAATCCGCAAGGTCATTTTTTGACCATCCTACTTACTCTTTTCCAGGCTGTATTTAAGATGTGGCTGATTCCTACATTTATGAAGTGGTGTAATAAAATTACCCATTTTATTTTCTGTTTCTTAACAATTTTGGTTGTTTTTTTTTTTTTCTGTCTTTAGATTGCTACTCAGTATTGAACTGATGTTCTTGTAGAACAATACCACACTCCAAGAATTATTTTGCAAAATAAGGCTTATTTCTCAAGCAGACTGATAACTTGCTTTTTAGAATGTCTAGTATAACAGGCCTGTGTAGACAGTTCTCAGCATTAGGAAAGTTGTTGTTGTGTATCAGCACAGTTTAGTTGCTGTATGTTTTTATTTAGTTTTAGAGTAAAATTCATTGGGACAGAAAGAGTGGTGATAACTAGAATGGTTTTGAGCTTTAAGGTTAGTTTTCCTGCATCTCATATGGGTGCTAAAAATTCAGATAAATAGCAGGTTTTTTCTTGTTTCAGTTACTTTTGGCTGTGTTTAGTTTTAATGAATTTATAGGGATCCTTTTTGTTTCAGATGAATGAGAGACAGATTCTGTTCTAAAATTGTGTTCTTGTGACTCAGTGACTGAAAGCAGTGTATATACAGTGGTACAGAGGTAGCAAATACCAAACTGGGTGAGAAAAATTGATGTAATTGTACAGCAACTGAAATAAAAAGTCCATCTTAGGTTAGAATTTTAAGACAAAACTTAAACTTTTAAGGGCTGTGTGCAGTATTACTATTATTAACATCTTGGTTTTGACATATTTAACATGTAGCTATTTTTTAAAAGCCTTGTATTGCATGGAAGCTTGTTTTGCCTGTTTCCATAATTTAGAATTTTCTTTTTGGGTGGGTGGGTGAAAAATAAACACAGGTCTGCTTAAAATCCCTTTTCTTTTTGCAGCAGATGGAATGCAAGCAAAAAGTGAAAAGATAAAATCTTCTCTGAAGAATGTGAAAAAAGATACAGGGAAGCTAGAGAAACTTAAGTATAAGCCACTCACTGGGAAGGTGTTTTACCTCGACATTCCATCAAATGTGATCTCTGAAAAAATAGGAAAGGACCTCAAAGAGCTGGGAGGGGTAAGTTAATGAGCTCTCTATAAAACTAGAAGAAAATCTACACGTGTAAAATGCCTTTTCCATGATCTTTGTGTATGCATTTTGATGTTTTTATTTTATTTTTGACAGGATTTTATTGTATGTTTGTCTTAATGTTTAATATGAACAATTAGCATATCAGCAGTATTTTGTGTTTTGGGTTTTTTTTGGTGTTTGGGTTTGTTGTTTGTTTTTTGTTGTTGTTTAGGTTTTCCAATTGATTATTTATTTGCTTAAAATTTGGTCCAGATTTAATAAATTTCATTGTTGGAAATCATTACCCACCCGTTCCCCCTTGCTGCTTCTGACTGTATTGACATGTTTGCAATTAAAATTGTTCATCTGAACATAAAAGACCAGAGGAAGTGTTTTGCATACGGTTACTAAAAGTAATGTCAATAAGTACTTTCTGCATGGAGTATGTTAATGAGTATTTTTAAATACTCTTATTTAAATAATAGATTTTATAAACAATTTTTTTTTTTCTTTAACTCTCTTGCATATGGAAGAAACACTTTGATAAAGGCAAGTACAGGATATCATAGTAACACAGAAGCAATGCAGTTGCTTAGTCCACTTTAAATATTTTGAATTAATGTAAAGGAGTCTTGGCAGTTAAAATATTAAACACCCTTGAACCACAGAAGCAAAAGGGATCTGCTTAAATTGCTCGGTATTCTGAACACTGCTTCGGCAATACTTGAATGACCTCAAGGCAGTGCTGATTAGTTCTATGAAATTGACACTTGTAAATTCAGAATGGTTGGAAGTTCTAGTAAAGGCAAGTAGTAGCAATGACATGGTTTCAAGTTCAATGGGTCTTTTTACATTTAGCATTAAATGAGTGCATGTTATCTTTTGTCTTTGTCTAAACCAGAGTTTTAGCAATTCATACGTGAAAGGTAAAGTTGCAAATCAAAGACTGAAAAGGAAGTTTTTCTATTTCAAGGAGTATATGCCTGAATCTGAAGTGTCCAGCACCTTCAAGATAACTACATGTGTTTTGTTGTTACTTGTGGGGAGTGCACTCAAAAGTGCCATGCTCTGTATGTCCCAGTTCTTTTAAAGGTACATAGAGCAGAGTTGGAAGGCACAGGTTCAGACTCGCTGTCTGTGCAATTTGTGTTTTCCATACTGATTAGTGGAGAAGAGGAAAATATTTTTAAGCTATGTAAATTGGCAAAAAATAAGGAAAATAGAACTGATCATCACACAGCAGTTGGTAGCAAATGACTGAAGGAGCAAAATGGAAGAGAATAAGCATAGGACAATCACATTTTTTGTCTTACTGAGCATGAAAATATCATTAATCTACTTGTCTTCTCATTTTGAGAAGTGTTGCAAATCTCTGGCAGTGTTCAAGGCCAGGTTGGATGGGGCTTTGAGCAACCTGGTGTAGTGGAAGGTATCCCTGCCTGTTGCAGGGGGGTTGGAACTAGATCATCTTAAGATCCTTCCCAACCCAAACCATTCTAGGATCCTATAAATACTGTAGGTGTGAAACATGGTAACTATCCTGATATTTTGATTTTTCTGTTGGCTCTAAACTTGATACGTTTATAGCTTCCTGCAAACTGTAAATTACATTTGCATACGCATGACTTCAAGTTTAGCTGAACACTTCTATGTCATTTCTGTTACATAAAATCATAGAAACCGGTTTCTTGAATTCTCTTATTTCTCTGTACAGTGTTTGACTTCTATTTGTAAAGTATTCAGCTAGATTGTTCAAAGAATGATAATAGTGAAAACAAAGGTCTTTTGATATATACTTAAAAAATAAATGGAAATTAAAATTTGTGACTAATAAGATGCTAGTATAGCCAAATTGTAATTACCATTCAGTGTTTTTTAATTATTATAGAAGTTTTGTCACTTTTTGTTAAAGTATGCAATGTAAGAGTTACTGGTTTACAGTCCTGAAATAATGGCTTTCTATCTTTATATTTAGAGAGTGGAGAGTTTTCTTAGTAAAGATATCAGCTATCTGGTGTCTAATAAAAAGGAGGCAAAATTTGCACCAAGTCTTGGTCAGATTTCTCCTGTTCCTAGCCCGGAATCTGCAGGTAATGGAGGAAATAGTTCACCTCATCCTAGCAAACGAAAAGATCGACATGACGGAAGTTCATTTAAGATAGTAGATACAGTAAGTTTCTTAGTATTATTACTGCAGATCAGGTACAACCCATAGAATATGCTCTTACAATCTTTCTCTTGTGTTGTTTTTTTTGTTTTTTTTTTAAAGATGAACACAATTCCGTGAGTGAATAAGGTTGTTTGATGTTTTGTTTGTTTGGGTTGATTTGTTTGTTTCTGAACAGGTCAGATGTACTTCTAAGCTAGTTCAGGTGAACTTGTTAAACTTGACTAAGCAAAGTTTCCAGTGGTTCCTGTCTCTAGCAACACAGCCTATTAAAATCTGGCCGCTGTAATGTTAACGCTTGTACGTACAGAAGCACTCTGATAGTGGTACAAGGAAATAATTAAAATCAAATGTTATGAATACTATGATTTTCTGAGCTCTTAGAGGATCATGTTAATTGCAGTAATTAGCATCTGAATTTGTGCAGATTTACGAGAAGTTTCTCATAGGGGCAAATCTTGTGTCCTTTCAAAAATGCAATTGGAAACAACTAGCTGTGCTATATATACATGGTACTTATTTAGAACAGTCTGTGGGTTGGTCTTTCCATTGCCTAGGTGAGATTGCCTCATTTTGCAAATAACCCGGATAAAGGCATGCTCATTATGGATAAACAGCATAAAGTACAAAAGCAGATGCAGTTGTGATAGAAAAGATGTGATAAGATGTAGGCTATAATTTTATTCATGAGTGTTAGCTTCATTTGGCACGAGTCCAGCTGATGGAACTTCCATCATTTGGTGCGTGCCACTGGCTGCTTCTTCCCACCATCTAGCACCAGCCATGTAGTGACTTGCTTTGGCTGAAAACAAGTACTTACTCTTTCACACACACCCTTTGCCCAGACTGTCAGCTGTAACTTTGTGGGCAAGATGTGAATTAATGAAAAATAGCAGTACAGTGAGCAAAAGGAGACTATCATACCTAAAATACTTATTTGTTAGCAACAGTGTAAATTATCTGACCTTTTGTGTTGTTTTTTTTTTTTTTTAAATGGATACTAACTTACTACAAACATGTTGCTGTTTTAATATAGGTACGTATGAGCAGAGGAAAATCCTTAGTTGAAAAAGCAATCAAGGAGCAGGTAAGCCAAGTAATCAATGAATTCATGCTTGAGAAAGTTTGGATTTGCTCTTGTAGAAAATGAGCAGTAGCAAGAATAGTCTTGGTTTTAAGAAGTCCCTCATGGAACACTGGCAGAAGTCGAGAGATTGTCTTAAGTAAAACTGTCAGGACATTCTTTCTGGGTACTTCCTGAAGAATTGAAAGTTTGTGTAGTCTTATTGCCAATATTACAGTATTTCAGGCTTATTGATACAGCTAGCATTTGAGAGGTGCTTGTGAAGTTAGAGTAAATATATATATTCACTGTCTTCAAATCTTGCTGAAAAATGTGACAATAGAGAACAATTTTGGCTTCATGAAAGGTTAAATGTAATCTTTTGATGGTGAAGGGCTGTGACACGGAGATGGAAAAGTCAGTTGAGGAGATCAGACAGCCTTTTGGCAAGAAGCAAACCATTGGCACTTAGATCACAGCCTTCGTGTTACACGATTTAATATAATCATAATTATATTATCTACTATATATTGCTTTATTATTATAATTTATTGTTTGCAGGATTTAATCCCTTCTGGTAGTATACTATCCAATGCACTGAGCTGGGGAGTGAAGGTACTTCATATTGATGGTAAATATTTTGTTTGATAAAGCCTACCGTAAACTTGTAACATTCATTTAATTATTTTTTGTTGAATTCAAAATACTAAAAATGATAAATTACTTGAGATATACAAAGATAAACTCAGCTGAGTATAATTGTCCCTCTTTTTCCCAGATGTTAAGAATTACATTGAACAAAAGAAAAAGGAGCTCTACCTAATCAAAAGATCAGGCAGTTCTTCAAAAGATGTGGTAAGTGATTCTTTGCCATTTGTGAAAATGCCATTTGTTTCACTGAGAATGCAGGTGTCCTAAATACTACCTACTGTGAAGCTTGCAGATTCTATTTTGATGAAGTTTTGCTCATGTTCAGTTTTTCAGACTGGTATGTTTCATGAACTGATTTAAAAAATGTATTTGAAAAACAGAAATTATTAGCTATTAATTTCAACATTATTCAAAAATAAATATAATAGTAGCACTGATTAAATTGTATATGGATCTTTGCTCTTGCAAAGGATATCTTGGAATCAGAAGTACTGAACTGCCTGAAACGATGTAAATTGTAGTTAAATTGCCTTGTATAATTTTCCTGATGACACAATGGTTGGAAACCTTCCTTTTGATGGGCCATTTTGAAATACCCCATTACCTGAAGAAAGCTGTCTGTAGGGAATCTTTTCAGTCAGTTGCTCAAACCTGCATCTCCCTAGCCTTGTAAAGAATTCACATAAAGTATCTTTGAGCTATTCTGCTAATAACATGCAGTTGACATGTGAAAAATCTCAATTTCTCCAAATTTTAGTGTATTATACAGTGAGACATTGAAGCTGTTTCAGCTGCTTATGTTCTCTGTCTGCAGTATCCCTATAATATAAATTAAAGATGTGAAGTTGTGTAATTATCTAGTCCAGGCAGGGCTCTGCGATAAGTAAATTAAATGGTAATGTATATAGACCATCTTGTGTATGTTATGTTGTTTTGGAATGCAATAGCAGATACTTATTGAGGCTACATCAAATCCTCTGCTATATCATTAGGGTCCTGGTGTTCATGGATAGCAAGGTGGGGTTTTTGCAAGTAATATAAAATAGGTGTTTGTACCTTTACCAGAATCAATTACAGCTAACACCTGGTACTTTTTTTCTGAAAACAAAAGACTCTTAAGTTTAATTCTCATTGACAAGAAAAACCTGTGTAAATCTGTTCAAATGAGAAGAATTGCCTTAATTGAAGAATGTTACCTGGAATTTTAGTTTGTAGTTAATTAGCATTATGTGAATATTATCTGTATTTAAGAATCAACTTTAAACAGTGGCAGGGTATTTTGGGTTTTTTGGTTGGATTTGGTTTTAGGAAAAATAAATTGAAACATCTTAAGGAGAACTTTTTCTAATTTTCTTTTTGTGCTGTAGAAATATTTATTTGGGAAACATGTCACCATATTTCTGAAGTAGTAATGAGTTTTAGTTTCCTGCAAATCATACGCATGACTGTGTATGAAGTCATGATTAGCACAGGGAGAGCCTCATAACTTAAAAGTAGCTACAGCTAATTTTTTAAGTAAAATGCAGAATAATATTAATGGGGATTTTATACATTTTCTCTTTTTTCCTATAGGGAAAACAAGTTACTACTCAAAAGTCAAGAAGTAAGTATTAGTATTTGTAGAGGTGTATGTTTTGCTTATTTTCTGAATGTTTAAAAATGGACTACAGTTTATAATCTTGTCAAGCATGCTGCTGTATTCTAGTTTGTTTGTCCAAGAAAAGCATATACAAAAACTTAATGGAAATCGAGAGTTTGTCAAAACAGGTACATACCAAGTTCTAAAATAATGTCTGCTTGTTCATTCATGTACTGGAGTAACTTGCTGAATGAAGAAAAGTATTTCTCTCAATTTTTTTTTTTTCCCCCCCTTGAGCAGGTAGACTGAAAAATCCATTTGTGAAGGTAGAAGATAGAAGTTGGTAAGTGTTCTCTTCATGTGTTAAGTGATGTGGCTCTCAAACTTGAGTAATTGAGAAACATTTAGTATGCCTTCAGGAACTGGCCTTCAGATTTGAATTTCTTCCTAGCTTTAGATGCTAGGCATGCTGTTCTCTTAGAATAAGATACAGCATTTTTGTCTTTACATGCTCTGGGTAGCTATCTGTCTTGAGCCACTGAATGAGATTGAGCAAGTATTAATGTGGTAGGGAATATTTGCAGTAAGTAATGTAAGGGAAAGTTAAGGTATAGCTCCAGACCGTGCGACTGCTTTCTTAGGATTACTTTCTGCCAAGGGCCTTAATGAATGAAAACTGGAAGCTTTGAACCTTGACATCTTTTCTTAGATCCAAATCCTGTTGCCCAAAAGGCCAGTAAAATTTTCTATACTAAATTCCAGCCCTGTATCCCAACTCAATAACATTCTTCTCCTCAGAAGACTGTTCAGATGTAAGGAAAGTGAAGTTGTTAATTAAAATCATCCTATGAAATTAGGTTTAATTTCCTGTTCAATCATTTCTTTTTGAAAGCAAAAAAGACTCCCTATTCTGATTTCAGTACTCCCAGTAGCATGAAACCTGATACTTTCAGCCTTTAAAATTTTCGCATCTTTCTGGTCCTGGAATTGATCAGACCTGGTTCTGTGAGGAAATGTCAGTTTGCCAGAAGTTGAGAGAACAATGGATTATAAAAAAGTATGGTCTGGACAACGTATTTTGCATCTTTATATTCTTAACTAAATTCTACTTTATGCTGACATTTATAAGCTCAAAATCCTTTGAGCTCATTTCTTTGACACTTTCCTGAATTAAAAAGATCCAAGCCTGGTCTTGTGCTGTGAGCTATTCTGATAAAAGGGCATGAAGATAGTGTGGATATTGGACACATATAGTTGAAGAAATTTGTTTATAAATACGTATGCATTTGACTTCTGAACTAAACACAGGAAACACTTTTGGATGTTATGTAATGTAAGCAATGTTTTTTAATATTTAAATGTTTATGCAATGTTAGTAACTGCTCACAAGATGCTTAGCTGTCCCTGTAATGTTTTCCAGACTTGCTCTTTTTTTGCCTGGGCAGCTTATAATAGTAATATGGGAGAAAAAAGTCAGACTGAACTCTGACATCAGCATTTCAGTAAAATGATTCAGTATGTGAATTTATGACACGCCCTATTTTAAACATTCTTAATATATTCAGTGTGCTGGTATGGTTGCTTGTTCTGTTATCTCTCAAGTACAGTGATATACAGGAAAAAAACCTTTCTGGAAAATGAAAAGGTCTGGTTTTATATGTTGAAGGGTGAATTGATTAAAATTTTCAAAAAAGAAGAAACTGGTAGAATTGGGGAAAAAAAATGCATTTGATGTTAGGAACTGCTGTAGCTACTTCTCAGGAACACAGACACACCAGTGTCCAAATTGCGTAATTTTATTGGTTACCCAACTCTCAATAATAAATAGGCATGAAAGCCATACACCAGGGAAAGTGTAAGACAGCTATCGAAACTCCAGGCAAATCTATTTTAAGAAAGTATCATGTTTTTAGGAAGGAAGAAATGACTTATTCTAGGATATTTATCTGCTTAGCATTCTGTGTATGATATATGTAAAAGTGAGACACTTTTCCATGATTTTGCCCCGATTGTATTGTTGTGCTGTAAACTCCTTTTTCCATTTTGAGAGTTTTAATGCACTTTTTTGTTGTTGAATACAGCCTCTACCGGCCATTTTATCTGCAGTTACCCATTTTTCCAGTTCTGAATTACTGTGTTCCAAAACCGTATAGTCCATTTGAGGTGGATAAGAAGCATCCTTCTGGCCAAAAACAAACGCAGTCTAAGCAAAGGTTTGTTGAAAACTTGTGGAGGTGTGGGTAGTGGGGAGGATGGTTTTCTAAAATTGCTGTGCTTCTAATTTTTGCGATATTTAATACTAATAGCCATGTCTCAGCTGATGTATTTGCTGCAGTGTAACTGTTGGTGTCTGTCTATCTTTCTGTACCCTCTTTATCCTGTCTTTAGTCCTTTTTTTGGACATACAGATGCATACATCCAAAAATGCGGCCTTCTATCAGTGTGGGTCAGCATAAGAGACTTTTTTTTTTCCTTTCTGACACTGGTTTCTTCTTTGTCCTCATCTTGGATGCCATCCAGTAAGTATTTTACAGGAAATGTATTTATTAAGACTACTTTTAATATTTGTCAGCATAATACCAAAGTAGGCAGCTAGAAATCTTTAAAATTGTGATATTCAGACATAGTGCAGATCATTGTTGATAAAGTCTAATTTGTACAAGTTAGACTGCAAGTACTGCCTCGGCTCTTCAGAGGAGTTGGTCTTACAGCAAGTGTTTATATGATAAATTTTGGCATTCAGGCTCAGTTAGAGCACTGCAGATACAGTTAGAACTTTGGTAAATTAGAGATGTGTGCATGTCTGCGGGGGTATGATATAATAGGCATCACAGAAACATGGTGGGATGGCTCCTATGATTGGAGTGTTGGAATGGAAGGTTACAGGCTCTTCAGAAATGACAGGCCTGGCAGGCAGGTAGGGGGAATTGCCCTTTATGTCAGGGATAGGCTGGAGAGTATGGAACTCTGTCTGGGGACAGGTGAGCAGTCCACAGAGAGTTTGTGGGTCAGGGTTAAAGGGAATATAGCTATGGGAGACATTACTGTGGGGATGTGTTACAGACCGCCTGATCAAGGAGAAGCTGTGGATGAAGCACTCCATAGACAGATGGGAAAAGCCTCACACTCGCAGGCTCTTGTTCTCATGGGGGACTTCAACCACCCTGACATCTGTTGGAAGGACTGTACGGCCCGGCACAAGCAATCCAGGAGGTTCCTCAGTTGTGTAGAAGACAACTTCCTTCTGCAAGTAATAGAGGAGCCGACAAGGAGAGGTGCCATGCTTGACCTTGTGCTCACCAGCAGGGAAGGGCTGGTTGGAAATGTGACGCTCCAGGGCAGCCTTGGATGCAACAGTCACGAGATGGTCGAATTTGAGATCCTCATGACAGTGAGAAGAGCGTGCAGCAAGCTCACTGCCCTGGACCTCACGAGAGCAGACTTTGGCCTCTTCAGGAACCTGCTTAGTAAGGTTCCACGGGATATAGCCCTAGAGGGCAGGGAGGCCCAAGACTGTTGGTTGATATTCAAGGGTCACCTGCTACAAGCTCAGGAGTGTTGCATCCCAACTAGAAAAAAGTGCAGCAGGAGGGCCAGGAGACCTCCATGGATGGAAAAGGAGCTGCTGAGGAAAATTCAAATGAAAAAAGAGGCTTATAATAAGTGGAAGCAAGGACAGGCAGCCTGGGAAGAATACAGGGATGTTGTCCAGGAAGCTAGGAAGCAGGTTAGGAAAGCTAAGGCCCAGTTAGTATTACACTTACCTAGAGGTATTAAAGATAACAGGAAGGGGTTCTACAGGTATGTAGCAAATAAAAAACAGACTAGGGAGAACACAGCCGCCCTCAGGAAGCTCTCAGGAGAACTGGCTACACAGGATTTGGAGAAGGCTGAGGTTCTGAATGACTTTGCCTCAGTCTTCACTGGCAATTGCTCTGACAAAACCACCCAGGTCTTGGAAGGCAGATGCAGGGACTGTGAGAATGAAGACCTTGCACCCGCTGTTGGAGAGGAACTCGTTTGAGACCATCTTAAAGGTCTGAACGTGCACAAGTCCATGGGTCCTGATGAGATCCTTCCGCGGGTCCTGAAGAAGCTGGTGAATGAAGTTGCGAAGCCGCTGGCCATCATATTTGAGAAATCACGGCAGTCAGGTGAAGTTCCTGATGACTGGAAAAAGGGAAATATAACCCCCATTTTCGAGAAGGGGAAAATGGATGACCCAGGGAATTACAGAGTAGTCAGTCTCACCTCTGTGCCTGGCAAAATCTTGGAGCAGATTCTCCTGGAAGGCATGCTAAGGCACATGAAAATCAACAGGGTGCTTGGTGACAGCCAGCATGGCTTCACTAAGGGGAAATCCTGCCTGACCACTTTGGTGGCCTTCTATGATGGGGCTACAGAACTGATGGACAGGGGTAGAGCAGTTGATGTCATCTACCTGGACCTGTGTAAAGCGTTCGACACTGTCCCACATGACATCCTTGTCTCTAAATTGGAGAGACATCAATGTGATGGATGGACCACTCGGTGGATAAAGAACTGGCTGGATGGCCACACGCAAAGAGTTGTGGTCAATGGCTCAATGTCCAGCTGGACACCACAAACGAGTGGTGTCCCTTAGGGATTGGTGTTGGGACCGGTCTTGTTCAGCATCTTTGTCACTGACATGGGCACTGGGATTGAGTGCGCCCTCAGCAAGTTTGCCGATGACACCAAGCTGTGTGGTTCAGTTGGTAGGCTGGAGGGAAGGAATGCCATCCAGAGGGACCTTGACACGCTTGTGAGGTGGGCTGATGCCAACCTCATGAAGGTTAACCATACCAAGTGCAAGGTCCTACACCTGGGTCTGAGCAATCCCAGGCACAGCTACAGGTTGGGCAGAGAAGAGATTCAGAGCAGCCCTGTGGAGGAGGACTTGGGGGTGTTGGTTGATGAGAAAATGGACATGGGCTGGCTTCAGCGTGTGCTCACAGCCCAGAAAGCCAACTGTATCCTGGGCTGCATCAAAAGGAGCGTGACCAGCAGGTCAAAGGAGGTGATCCTGCCCCTCTCCTGTGCTCTTGTGAGACCTCACCTGGAGTACTGTGTGCAGTTCTGGTGTCCTCAACATAAACAGGACATGGAAGTGTTGGACCAAGTCCAGGGGAGGGCCATGAGGATGATCAGGGGACTGGAGCACCTCCCGTATGAAGGCAGGCTGAGAAAGCTGGGGCTGTTCAGCCTGGAGAAGAGAAGGCTGCATGGAGACCTCATAGCAGCCTTCCAGTATCTATAGGGATGTTGGAGAGGGACTCTTCATTGGAGACTGTAGTGATAGGACAAGGGGTAACAGGTTCAAACTTAAACAGGGGAAGTTTAATGTTAGGTTGTTGAGGCACTGGAATAGGTTGCCCAGGGAGGTTGTGAATCCTCCATCCCTGGTGTTGTTCAAGACCAGGTCAGATGAGGCCTTGGGTGATATGATGTAGTGTAAGGTGTCCCTGCCCACGGCCGGGGGGTTGGAACTAGATGATCTTAAGGTCCTTTCCTGCCCTAATTGTTCTATGGTGTTCTATGATGAAATCAATTTTATGATTTGAATCTACTAAGGAATCTTAATTACCTGGGTTTTGGTGAATCATACTATTGTTTTTAATCTCTTATACCTAGCATATAGGGAGTATTAATGATTCTTTCATTGGTTTCTAAAACTCACATAAGAGACTACAGATACTTAGGTAAAAGGTAGCTTTGCTAAATGTGAAACTTTATGTATCTAGTAACTTCCACTGCTTTTGTCCTTGGGGTCTAAAGGGTTACTTAGGTATGATACTTTTCTTTATAAAATAGCTTCTCCACTCTTGAGTTCTGTTTAGTCTTCACTATTATTATAGTGCTGCAGGTTTTCAGGTGGTGTTGCCATGCTGAATTTTATTTATTTAAATTGCAGTAAATATAGCAGTATGAAAAAGCAAAGCAACTGTAACAGCAGTAACTTTTGCAGTTGTGAGGCAATTTCTGATATTATCTCTTCAGAGGAGGTTAGGAAGGCCTATTCTTTTTAAAGCATTAAAAAATACTATTTGCATTTATATGGAATATGATATATTAAAAAAATCAAGAATTATGTTTCAATGAATGTTCTTATTTAATCTTTTGGGTTGGCACATGCCAAAGAGATTTAGGTGGGAGATTATTTCATCCTCAGCAGGTAAATGTGAGGAATGTCAATTTTGGGAGAGAAAAAGGGGAGTACTCACTTTTTCTATCTGGGAGAAAAAGCTTGTTGAAGCAAAGTTGTCAGTCCCATTTGATTTTTGTATTTGGCAAGACCTGCAGCCATTATTTCAATTTTCAGGTGATAAATTCAGTTGCTTATATTGTGCTCTACTGGTTCTGATTTTTACAGTACTAAGAGGGGAGGTGAAAAGGTTAATGTTAACAACTACACAGTTAGGTGCAGCCTGTCCTGTGGAACCCAACAAATGCTGGGGCAGGCATTACCAGTATAGACTTGAATGGAAATGATCGGTGAAAGCAGTGTACCCTTATTATGCTTGTTTGCTTTTTAAGTGCAGAGATTTTTCAGCGCAGGTGTTTTGATGTAAAGACCTGAGCTTACATCTATGCAGATACTTGGTAAAGTCTGTCAGAATCATTTTTGGCTAGACAGAGAGATGGCACTATTTCTCTAACGTAAAAGGGAAATAGAGATTGACGGTTTTGCTTTACCACCAGCACATCATCCTTAGGCAGTTTAATGGTGAATTGAAGCAAAAAACTGAAGCTAGTTCTCTCCAGATGAGGACTCTGAAAATCGTGGAGCAGCTATTGAAATCTCTTCTGTGTTTTAATCTCCAGGAAAAACTTGAGGTTCATTTCTTCCTTTTTCCACTTAGCCTGTACCTAGAAAAACAGGACAAAATGGCATTTGGTCAGCGTATTCAAAACCTATGTATAAACCAACAAATGTGACTGTTTTTTACTTTTGCCAAAGAATGAGAGGTCATCTGTTAGACCAAGTGGTTTTGCTGTGTGTTTTCTTGGCATCAGAAAAACTGACAGTGGTTGAGATGTTAGAAGACTTTTTTCCCCCTAGTTTCTGTTTTATCAACCCTCCTTTTATCAGCTATGCACAGAGACTTCAGCATGTCCTGTGTCTTGTCAAGGGGTGTTTTTTTGTTCAGCAATTTTGCAGTGTTTATTCTGAGTCAGTAGTATATCTGTACTAACCTGGATGTTTTATGCTTACATACAGTTCCACTGGGTCTGCCAGTCATTTTTGCAGTAATTTCTTCTTTTTTAATTAATGCACAATTTCTTTTTTTTTTTTTCCCTAGGCTTTGACTAACAATTTAAATGGTTTGAGCAGAAATATTTTTTTTTATTATTATTTAAGTGATTAAGAACAACCATGCTGGGAGAGGCAAGTATAGAGCTCAGCTCCATATTTGAGACTTATGTTAATATAACTTTTCTGTTAACAGAACCAAAATAAATAGTGACAAGGACTGTGGAACTCCTGTTCAGCTCCCTCAGAAGGACAAAAAAAGGAGAGGATATTGTGAATGCTGTGGGAAGAAATATGAAGATCTGCAAACAGTATGTGAAATGTCAAGTATATGCTTGGATAGTGTCATCTCTCAAGTGGGATATCAGCAGTGTTTTCTACTTGCTAATTTAATATATTTTTTTTATCTTAAGAGATTTTCTGACTGTATCTGCTAAAAAGCAGCAGGTGGGTATTGTTTTTCCCCATGTAGGTTTAAAGTCTTGATAGCTGCTTCTATATATGGTAACTGAAGGCACTAGTAGCTCGTGTCTCAGAGACACTGGTAATAAATGATATTTACTTACTGCTCGATATCATACTGCTGACTTGTATATTCATAACAGTAGTAGTAGTTTAGTTTCATGTTTTTCCTTTAATTCCAGCACCTTGAAAGTGAACAGCACCGGAATTTTGCACAAAGCACACAGTATCAAGTTGTTGATGATATAATCTCAAAATTTGTTTACAAGTTTGTAGAATACAAAGATGATGAAAAAATAAAAAGGTAAGTTACATTTTCTAAACTCTCTGAGGTGAGACATTGAGAATAAACATACTTAGTTCTGAAATCTAGATCTGGTACAGAATAAATTCATGTTTTCAGTCTGAAATAAGTTGCTGAAATTTACAATGCAGTTGTACCTGGCAAATAGTTACGTAAAGCAGAAATTAGAGAGGAAAATAAAAATAGTGCAGATGATATCATAAGAAAATTAGACTGAAAAGATTTGCCAGAAGTTGTCCTACCTATCCTTCAGCTTTAGAGAAGCAAGATCCTGTACTAGAACATTGCTGACAGAAGGACAGCAATATCTGAACATACTGCTCTAAAACCTTTGTCATTCTTAGTAGCCTAAGAACAGCGAATGATACCCTCCTCATTCAGTCTGCTCTCCTTACCAGTGGAAAACTTTTCCTGATCTAGATCTTGCTGTCTATACTTTGTCTCTTAGCTTCTGACCTGCCTGTGCTGGACAAATAAAGCAGATTTTCCTTTCCTCTTTGTAACTCAGAAGCTTAAGTGGGCTAAACAGACTTGTTTCACATCTCGGACTGTAGGCAGCAGTGTCTTAGTTCCAAGTAACTGTACCTCAATTCAGGATTGGTCTGGTTCGTTGCAAATAAGTTGAGAGATTAGGAATAACTTTTTTGCTTTTTAAAATGAAAAAGTATTGAAAGAATATGGATATTTTTAGTGAAATCAAATGAAATGTGAATAGAGTCGAACAGCTGATAGCCTGATGAAGGCAAGCCTTTATTCCTTTTATAACCTGAAAATAATCAGGTTAGGTTTGAAATGCTGTGCCAAGAAAGTAATGTATAATTACGCTAACTTTTGTGTGTATATATCATAGGATATTTGTATTTATAGAGATTGCATTATATACATTAATGTCTTCTGTTCTTGACACCACTATAAATTGAGATGTACTGAAATACTAGGCTTCTTACTTCATGTATTTTTAAAACAATTTAATGAGCTGTAGAAATCAATAGGAAAAATAAGACACACTGTTCTTACAGAAATAGTGTGTTGCTTGTCTAAATAGATCTTACCTTTTAAAAGTAAAACAAAAAGTTGCTTTGCCACTTCTGTTGCTTTTCTAGAATCAGTTGCCTATGGAGTTGTTTCCCATGTTTTTTCCAGGTGTGTGTTAATAATTCTAAACAATTTCATTGTAGGACAAAATGTAGTACAGGCTGTTTTTCTCCTATTATTGGGAAGATAACTAGACCAGATGAGCTGAAAGAACGACTGAAAAAGCAACGCATTTCCTTGAAAAGCTACTCGTGGAAGGATACGACAATGCGGGCACTCAAACCAGATCGCCAGCCTGTGGAAGTACTACCAAATTCTGTGCCAATACCTACCCCTCTTTCTGGGTCTGTTTGTTCAGTTCTTTATTGTCACCTGGCACAACCTTCAGAACTGCAAATTAAGTTCAGAAATAATGATGAAAATACTAAGACTGATTGCTCCTGTGCTGCAAACTTAAGACAGACTGTTGTATCATCATATTTCATACAACCACCCCCTTGGAAAGATGACAAGGCATATACAGAGACCTTGTCTCGAGCTTATGAGTCATCCAATAAGGAAATACTGCAACTAGAAGTAAATGAAAAGAATTTACAGTGTTTTCAGGAGGGCATGTGTACTTTATGTTCTCATGCTGAAGTTACAGAATTTAGTGAAAAGGACAAAAACCCATTGCAGCCAAAAAGAAAATTAAATAATGCAGTAGTTTTACCAGCAAAGTGTTTGAAAAAAACAGATGCCAATCCTACGTTTGTCAAGAAACATCGTGATTTCTGTGATAATCATCAACAGATGCAGCACAATGTAGTTCTGGAGGCTGAGGTATCTGATACTGCTGTAAACAAAGAACTTAATGAATTGGCTGCCAGCACTACACCCAGTTCACCATCTGGAAAACTGCACAGAAAAGTGAAGCTTTACTTTGGAAGAAATAAAAAAGAAACCCAGAAACAAAACCTGGAGTTATGCTTAAAGTATACAAATGGACTGTCTGTTCCTGAACAGAAGAGAAGCTCTTGCAGCTCCCCAGTGCAGGCCCTGCTGGAGTTATTTCAGACAAGTGAAAGAAACTCAGAATTTGGAGGTTTTTCAGGTTACACAGAGAGCAAAGGTACAACTAGCATGAAAGATATATGGGAAGGGCAGAATACAAACGTTGTATGGTCATTATTTTCCTCTTCATCCTCATCCCCGTTTGTTGGATTTTAATGCTGCTTTATTTAATATAATAATTTTAAATAAACTTGCAAATTGAAGATTTTATTCATGGAGACGTTAATTGCTGTATTATATGTACAGATGGTTTGGTTTTCAAGTTTTTAAATGCAAAATCTTTTGTATATGTAAATGTGAAAAATAAAACTAAAGTGGGTTTTTTTAGTTGGTTGGTTTTTGGTTTTTTGTTTTTTCTCTTTAAAAGGTACTGGTTTATCACAGCTAGTAAAAGGCCCTGACTCCAGATTTGGGGTTAAATTAGTTGCAAGGCAAAACCAATAAACATGAGATGAGGTAGGTACATTTGGATAGAATTATTTTGTAAAGTCATTGATTATGGTACATTCTAAATAACCACTTTATAAGTAACTGGAAGTTTCGTTGTAAATAAGGTAGTCCATTACTTGCCAACTACTGTTTTGTGGAAATTTGGTTGCTTCCCTTCCTGCTGCTGCTGCTTTATTAGAGAATGCCAAAAAAAAAAACCAAAACCAAGGTTACTTGCTTTCCTAGTATTTCCTCTGCTGAAATTGTCTCATGAACCTATGTAATCATAAAGATGTAGCATTAGGAAAGTGTGTATTATACTTTTTGGCTATTATGACATAATTTATTTTTAGACTAAAACTTGTTGTATTCAGTATTTCAGCCAGTAGGAAAGCAATAGGTGTGTGCTTTGGTTTTGCTTTTAAAAAACCCCAGCACAATAACAGCAGCAGAAACAATTACCACAAAAAAAAAAGTCAGTTTCTGATTACTTCAAGTTATTTGTTTGATTTTTTCTTTCAGAGTAGCCAGTTGCCTGACTAGCTTACCTGGAGGCAGAGTGAAAGACACAAGTGAGAATTGGAAAGACTTTTTTTAAGACTTCAAACATTTACCAGAGGTGATCTCTTATCAGAATTTCTGTATCTGTAAATCAGTGCAGGGCATGAGTATGGAATTACAAGAGGTAATTGTAGTGCTTTATTAATAAATGTTAAGTGCCTTAAGGTCATGTAAGATACCTAACCAGCAGAAATCACTCTAATTTTTCTTCCGAAATTACTTGTTTGTATTTTTATCTCTTGCCCATTTATTATTCTCAAGCTTACTCTGTCAGTGTTCTTATAAAGTGGTTTCAGTCGTTGCATGCTGTAGTCTGTCCTTTGTAGGATAGTGTCTAAGAGGGGGTAGGTAATGTTTCTTGGTGTGCAGGAATGGGTGAGGAAAATAACAATTACTTTCCTTTAAAGAGCATATGAGTTGGGAGCTTAAAGGTGACATTCCTGACTCCACTGTTCATATAATTGCCTGTACATTGGTCTCTCCATCTTAATGGTTACCTCTGGGTTGATTTAGAATTTCTTCTGACCTGGATTCACATAAAAAAATTATATAGACAGCCATTACAGAAATTTGCAAAATTAACCTTTTTTAAAGGGGTTGATCTCAAAGATGTATGTCTATTTATTTATTTATTTTTTTTTTTGGCCTGTAGTTTACCAATATGTAGTGCTTTAGGAATGGAGCTTTTAAGAGCATTAAATCAGTTACTTTGCTCTTCATGTTGAGTGATGCTTTAACGATAGAAGGATTGCTCAAGATGTGATGAATGCAGGCTTTTCAGTCTATTTTAGGAACAAGTGTTTGACCACTTTTATTGAGAATGTTTTTGTTTGGTTGTGGGGTTTTTAATCTTTGGGTTCAGTTCTAAAGTAAAGTCGAAGAAGAATTTGCATTTTCCCCTAACACATATCTGTTGGTAGGTATCTCTTGTGGACACTCCCCCCTCCTCCCATCCCTGAGACACATACTCTTAGTTGGTGTGGTGGAATTCCGACTGGAATGCATATGGTTATTCATATACATGAAGATTATTCCAATAATTGAATGTTAAGGAGAGAAATAGTTGATGGTAGTAAATCTACATATCAGATAACCGATGTGTATATTTTGCATTATAATATGTTAGCTCAACAGGCACTGAAGAGATTTAAACACACTGGAATCTGGCTTTAGAATCTTAAGGGGGGAAAAAGGTTTATCATTAAAATATGAAAACTCATAATGCAGAACAAGATGGGAGAGTCACTGCAACTGCAAAGAAAACACTTTTAGTCGTGATGCAGATTTTGTTTACAGATGACTGACAAGTCACATCAGTGCATGCTGAGTCCCCTTTGCATGGAGTACATTCAGATAGCGTCACAAGCCGTAGTAAGCTTATTAACTATTTCTAAACCAGATCTATTCTGCATTTATTATATTTCAAGCTTGGTTGTTTTTTTTTTTTAAATCCCCACAGTTTTCAAAAAAAGGAAAATGAATTATTATATGAAAAAGTAGTGAAATGTGGAAGGCTAGTTATTGGGACAGTTGTCTGTGTCTCTGACTTTCTCCTAGACAAGAGAATCAGTATTTTCAAAATATGTGGCCAGGATTTCTTGTAATGTCAAACATTTCAGGCAATCACCACCACAGCTGCGTCTGTAGTTACTAGAATAAAGGGTTAGCATTAGAAGTGTGTTTTATTTGTAAGTACATCTTTATGATAATTCCATGTTATATAATTACAGTTTGAACTCTAGGGGCATGAGTTTCTTCTCATGCGCTTCACTTTTTTTATTGTCTTGCTTTCAGTGAATTTGAGAAGCTGGTGTAAGTAATTTTTATATCCTATTCAAAACTAGTTGTTAATATGCTGACTGTTGCTTTCTTTGTGTGGTGGTTAGTGGAACTTGGAGCTGTATTCCTGTACTCTGCAGTGTACTCTTATACACAGCATGGGATTTGAAATTTTAATAAGGCACAAAATCTTGACTGTTAGAAAAAAACCCAAAAGCTTTACCACTTGTGTAGAACAGACATTACTTCATTTTAAGTCTAATTGAAAAAAAAAAAAATCTCCTAGACTTTTATGTTATAAAAGCACTCTTATTTAAGTGATTATGCTGTGGCCCAGTGATCTCCATTGTTTCTTTCATAGGTATGGCAAGTGTGTTTCTGGGGCTGTGAAACATTCTGTCATCTTTAAAATATTAAAATACAAGGTCTGTGCAGGCACACGCACATAACATTACTGAAAGCCATGCAGACACTACTGGTTTGGTACTTTTGGATAATGGTGAGTTGTAACTGATCTTTTCAGACCCATCTTGTTTCATTACCACAGGAGAGAGCAAAATTATTTTCATTAAAAGGCGTCTGGCATGGAAACTAGCTACACAATGCAAAGTTGGAATGGTTGTAACAACATCAAAAGAAATACAGGTGTTGAAATCTGCTTTTAGAAATAAAACATTAGAAGTGCTTTACTTCACTTACACCAAGTTAGGTTTGTTATCATTGCAGTAAGTGCCCAACCACTGCCTATGACTGAGCTCCACGCTATGTGTTTGTCTGGAACAGAAATGCTTCTCTTCAGATGAATTTACGGTGTGGTTGAAAGGATGGAGTTCGCAAGGGCTGGGAATGCGTGTGTGTGTGTGTGCACACGTGCATATGCGTGCACTGACAGATATTCATATGGGTGTATGGTGATAGTGGGGAGAAGTGACTTCAAAACCACACACATGTAACGAAGTTCTGCAATAGTACCTGAGTTTCATGCACTTGGGTAAGCCCTGTGCTCAGCAGCATCATCTTTAAGCAGTAATCTCTTGTGAAATATTTAATCACAGAATATTTGACATACAGCAACAGGTGGATAGGTGACTGAAAGGCTGTTCTTCCCCTTTGGAGATGGGGGAAAGGTAGTTACAACCTGAGGAGTACCAAGCATGTTAACATCTGTTCTGTTCTCCAGGGGCTGCCAGTGTGTGTTGAGGTGATTGAAGACATGTTCCACCTCAAGCTTTCAACAAAAGGCCATGCTTCAGTTGTCTAGTCATGCTACCATTGTTCTGTGTTATATTCTAGCCTGTATGACTGCAAAGCATATGACTTCTTAGATACCTCTGTGGAGGGTTGTGTGACTTCATTCTGCACCCTGAAGAACCTCAGCTCCAAACAACTTTGCTAATGTAACTGGCCATGGTATCTACAAAGCTCTTGTTTCAGTCTTCTAAGTGCAGGAATGACGAGAAAAAAGTGGTAGCTACTCTTAACTTGTGTAGTCACAGTGTGGGGTGTGGACACGGAATGTAAAAGTAAATACTGTTGGTAATACCAACCAGTAATAATCTCACTGCTGATATGTATAGTGATGGTAAGTATGAACTGAGTTCATTAACCAGGTAAACATTTCTGAAAGTGATGTGGATATTTCTGGGTTTTACCATGCATTCTGTAAATGTTTAGCTTTTGATACTTACAGTATATTTGCTTTAGAGAATGCAGAATCCAGATAAATGCTGAGCCATCACAGATAGAGCATCATAAAAAGATTTGGGATGCAGAGCAGATGTTTGTGTGGAATTGTTTCATTTGGTATAAAGCAGCTGCAGATCCAGCTGGCTATCAGAGCTAATCCACTTCTAAAAAAAAAGTATGCATTTTTTAGTTGAGGGGGGATCTGACTTGAAGGATCAGTGTCTCAAATATTCTTTTGAGTATGTAGATAGCCAGGGTTTAAAACCCAAGCTTTTTCTGTGACCTTCAGAACAGTTTTGCACCATGGTGCTCCAGTAGAACAGAGGTTGAGAGCCACGCTGTGGAAGTGAACTGCCAAATGATGGTAGTAACTTATGTGGTTCCAAGCCCTAGGCAGAGCAGGAATTTGGATGTGGATCTTGCATATTTTTGGCACACCACCAGCAGATGTCACGTGGGATTCATGTTTCCCAGTACAAGGCCTGCAAGCAGGATCCTTGAGCCTCAGAACCTTCATAGACCCTGGAAAAGGAGAGTCTTCTGGTCACTGAAAGATTCACAAATCTCGTCCTGTATCCTGCATTCAGGTTGGTTTTGTTGAGTAGCTGTTTAGGTTATTTCTGAGGATATTTTTATCAGCTAACTTGCCTGACATACTTTAGGGGTTACTACAGAAGATCTCACCTGGAAGCTCCTAAGTGAATGCAACCTCTGTATGTTGTAAAATTTGCATGAGATCTCTGAATATTTTTGGCTTTGATGGTGCGGATTTCCAAACCACTTGCCACTGAGCCAAATGCTTGTTATTTGATTAATGAAAACTTGAGCTTTCTTCATGCCAGATTTTCTGAGAAACTACCAATACCAAACCACACTTGTAGGTACCCAGTCCAATCTCCTAAATTCCAAGAGTGGTGAGCAGCAGTCACAAGAAGTGCAAAAAGGATCCTGTGCAATGACTAGATGCAGGATGGAACCCCCAACAAAACAAAATCCTATTTGTAAACTTAGATTGAAACAACTGGACAAAGCTCGTTAATCCAGAGCTGGTTGTTCACCACTACAGGTCCGTTGTTCTTTCAGTCCATTAGAACGTCCTGTTCCTCTTGAGAATTTTGAAAGGCATTCAAAAGTATGGCCCAAGTCAAGACTTCAGTGGACTAACTACTGCTGAATGGAAGGATATTTGTTCTTAATCAGCTTTTAATTTACTAGGTTTTAAATCAACTGAATGTCATCTTTTTTAATGCACCATTCTGCCTGAAGATCAGAAAGCACCAGCTTACTTTCCATGTGCTACCTATAGGACGTTTTATTGTGTTCCTCTGCTCATCACCATCTTGAAAATTCCTGATCTTTCTGGTTTTGTCACTGTCTTTCTTTGAACCTTGCAATTTCCTCACTGGGAATGCCATGTGGTGCTCCAGATTAGGCTGTACCTCTAATTCAGTGTCAAAACAGATTCTGTGTGTTGTGCTCTGTATTTAGACTATGGTTGCACATGCTTCTTGTTTTGAGGTAATATTCATGGTCTGCACTAAATAACCAACAGTGTCAAATGCTTCTATGCCAAAAGGTCACTGCTGTACAATTATGCAGTAAAAATACACTGTTGACTGTAATTGGACATAAAACTGGTACTGATACAAGAAAATTTAATTACCATGTATTCAGAGAGTAAATGTGGTTTTCATATGGAAACATTTAGGGCAGTACCCTTATGGTAATAGGTGTCCGGATGAATAGAGACAAAATATTTGTAGATCTGCCCTTTACCAGGAAAAAGTCTTTGTATGTTTTTTATAAATTTAGTAAGTCATGATTGAATATCAACCACTGAGAGTGTAATTGTTAAAAAGTGCCCTAGATTTCAGTTGGAATCTATCATATTTGAGAAAACAAAGGTTGCTGTGTGTGGGGAGAAGAGCTATACTTTCCACAGTATTAAGCTGCTTAATGTTCTGTAATTGGAATCAGTGTTGGTCTTCCATCATGTCTATGTGTACAGAAGGCTCCATTGTGCATTTCTCAGAGCAGAAAATTTAGTTTTTATCAAAATTCTAAGACTACAAAGGCATTTCTATAGGGTTTTTAGCAGTAAAAATGTGTTACTCTTTCAACATTTTAAAGTGAGCTAATTTCTTCAGAACTTTAGGCAGCTTAAAACTGAATTGTGACTGCAGTGGTTACTATTCTCCGTAGTGATTACAGCAAAGTTTACGATATACAAGTGGGAGGTAATTTTCAAGAATACCCCAAATAAATTATAAGTAGGATGTCATCAGGGCTGTTTAGTGCATATACTTTCTTTATGTGGCAAGGAGAGAAATAACACTTAGATCTTTAAGTGTTAAATTATGACTTTAATTATGGTTCAAAAATTATCTTTGGAATACCTGTCATAAATCAAAAGTTGAATATCTACTTATAAATCACTTTTTTTATGCTTTGAAATATTGGCATGTATTTTTCAGGCTTCATTCTTCTGCAGTTGTGGTTCAGTCAGTCATATAGAATTGTGCTCATTATGTTTGGCAAGTCATGAAGATGTCGCAACATAGGATAGAGCTGTTACTGCTCATTTAAAAAAGAGCTGGCCTAAGTCTTCAGCCTTTCCTCATAGAAGAGATGCTCCATACCTCTGGTCATTTTTGTGGCTCTCCTCTGGGCTCATTCTAATAGGTCCATATCTTTCCTGTACGAAGGACTCCAGTACTCCAGGTGAGGTCTTACCACTCCATGTGGGGTCTCATCATATCTCACCCCATTCCCATAGCCTACAGACTGGATATCTACACAAAATCTGGACAATGGTAATGCCAAGAGAAAAATAATCAATGTACGATGTACTGATCAAGGAACTGTACTGTCTACCTGCTGCATAACTGGTGTAGTATATACCCAGTGTCGTGAATCTGCGCAGAAGCTGTGAAATAGTGTGCCTGTGGGAACAGTTTGGTCTCACTGAAATAACTGTGGAGGTTGGCTGCAGCCTGAAGTGTCAGGATTTATGACTTTTGAAAAAAAGATTGAAACATCATATTTAATGTATTGATTTTTCTTTTTCTAAATAGCTCTTTCTCATCTTCTTTACCCACTCCACCTATGGTCCTTTTGATACCCTGCAGCACAGTTTTGTAAGCTGTTTCAGTAACTGCTCCAGGATTTAATGGATACTTCGAGGTAACTTTCCATCTCACCTGTAGTGTGACTGCAGCATAAGCAGGACAACACAAAACTTACTAGCCACTCTGCTCTAAGATGATACGTATTTCCAGATGTGGTATTCTGCTCTTAAGGTGCCCGTTTTGTTCCCATTCTCAGCTTGTTGAATCATCATTTTGTCTATTTTTATGTTGTGAAAAAAACCCTGTGAAAACCTGAATTTCATTCATCTGTCCTCTAATTGCTTCTCTTAATAATATGATCTGTGGTAAGGTAAGACCTGCAGAAAAATCAGACCGGGAGCCCTGACCTTCCCTTCCCTTTGGCTGGTGGTTCCTCCGAAGGCAACTGAATGGCCTGTAATGCTCCTACAAGCAGGAACGGAGGTGTCAGGTGCCCTGAGTGTTGCTAGTGCAAGCAACACAATCATAGAATGAGTTTGGCTGGAAGTGACCTTAAAGATCATCTAGTCCCCCCCCCTCTGCCACGGGCAGGGACACCTTCCACTAGATCAGGTTGTTCAAAGCCCCATCTAACCTGGCCTTCAACCCTTCCAGGGATGGAGCAGTCACAGCTTTTCTGGGCAACCTGTGCCAGTGTCTTACCACTCTCATAGTGAAGAGTTTCTTCCTAATATCTAAGCCAAATCTCCTCTCTGTCAGTTTAAAGCCATTCCCCCTTGTTCTGTCACTACCTGCCCTTGTAAAAAGTCCCTCTCCAGGTTTCTTGTAGGCCCCCTTTAGGTACTGGAAGCTGCTGTAAGGTTTCCTGCAGCCTTCTCTTCTACAGGCTGAACCCCAGTTCTCTCAGCATGTCCCCATAGAAGAGGTGCTCCAGCACTTCATTGCCCTGCTATGGACTCACTCAAGCAGGTTCGCTTCCCTCCTGTGTTTTGGGGCCCCAGAGCTTAACGCAGTACTGCAGGTTGGGTCTCGAGAGCAGAAGGGAGAATCACCACCCTTGGCATGCTTGACATGCTCCTTTTGATGCAGCCCAGGACACAGTTGATCTGCCTAATGGTTTGAAATTATGAAAATAAATATTATTTTTTAATCTTCCAGACTATATAATGGTGGTGAGACACTGGAACAGGTTGGCCAAAGAACTGGCAAATGATCCATCCCTGACAGTGTTCAAGGCCAGGTTGGACAAAGCCTTGGGTGACATGGTTTAGTGGGAGGTGTCCCTGCCCAAGGCAGGGGGGTTGGAACTAGATGATCTTAAGGTCCTTTCCAACCCTAAATATTCTATAATTCTATAATGAGCATCACTTTCAGTGTCATTTACTGTGATGTCACCTCTTCCTTTATCAAGTGCTTACAACTGATGCAGTAAACCTTGCAGTGGGTTGTTTGACCTTGTATTCTGTTGCCTGGGTCGGTGTGGAGCTGCATCTGCCGCAGTTCTGAGCTGCCATTCCTCTTCCTCTCTGGACTCATCTACCGAGGCAGTCCTTGCTACCGCCGCTTCGGAAAACTATGCGGGAAAGGGGTGCCTCAGACAGCTGCGCCTCGTCCCATGTTCATAAGGAAGGGTAGCTGAGGGAGGTGATGCAGGCCGCGCTGGTAGGCAGCAGCACTGCTGTCCGCCGCTTCCCGGTAGGTGGGGGTGTGGAATTGGGTTGCAGCTGCCACCATCCCTCTGCCGAGGGGGAGCAGCCCTCGGGTGACGAGGAGCGGCGTCGCGGGGCTCCGTGACACTTCTGCCGCTTGCTGCGGCCTCTGGCTTAGTCCCGGAGAGCGTGCTGTACCTTGAAATGGACCGTTCTGCTTTGTGATGCCTTTCAACTCCCCTCAACTGTTAGTCCAGTGCAGAAAGCGGGGGGTGGGAGTGGAAATTTAAGAAAGGAAGAAAAAAGGTCATAGGGAAGGCAGCTGAGGTTTGATAGAAAAGGGACACGTATAGGAGGAGATGGACTGGCCGCGGAAGCCCATCAGAGGGGACCGGCGGCAGTGCCGGGTGGGGGGGGACGCACAGACTTCGGCTGCCGCTGCAGAGAGCCCCCGCCTACCGCAGCAGGACGGGCTGGCCGCGGATGCACGCTGTGCCGCGGGGGCTCCCTTCACCCCGGGGCAGGGCGGTTACCAGAGCAGGCGGTACCGGGGCTGCCCCACGGGGCGGCGGCGGCCGCTCTGAGGCGCTCCCCTGGATGTGGGGCTTCCTCTCCTCTCCTCTCCTCTCTCGCACCGGTCCTTCTCTGCCTGCTAAGCGACTACATTTCCCAGCACTTCCCTCTTCCGAGGGGAGCCTCGCTGGCTCTCGTCATCTCTCTCCCTCGCAGGGGGCTCGGCGCGGTGGGGCGGAGCTCGGCAGCCCCGAACCCACGGCCCCGCAGCCCCCCCGCTCCCCGCCACACTCCCCGTGCAGGCGCGGAGCTCGGCGGCGGCGTTGTCGAGCGGGGCGGCGGGCAGCGCCATGCAGGCGGCCGCCTGCCTCTTTTCTTTGGTGCTCTGCGCCCTGCCCGCTGCTCCAGGTGAGTCTCGGCGGCGGAGCAGCGCCTGGCCCTGGGACTGGGACGGCGGGGAGCAGGGATGCTGCGCCCGGGGTTGCTGCGGAGCTCCCGCTCCAGCCTGAGCTCCGAGGGCGAGGGCGCAGCTGGTGACGGGTGCCTTTCCCCTTCCCAGGAGGAGCTGGGCGGCGGGGTGAGAGCCGCTTCGCGGAGCGGGAGAGCATCAGGCCCCTGCGGCTGGTCGGAGAGGGCGGCGGCGGGGGGCGGCGGCCGGCACTGAGTACGCGAGTGCGGAGCGGCGCGGCGCGGACGCAGGTAGGCGCCGGGCGGGGGGACCGCGGCCTGTCAGCCGGGTGGGGGCCCCTGCAGCAGTGCGGTGTGTGCCCGCAGCCCTCCCCCGAGCGATGCTTGTTTGAAAGCGTTGCTGGGTGAGATGCGCGGCTCCCTTCCCTGCAGGAGCATCGGGAATGCCAGCCCTCCAGCAGCAGCGCACGCATTACTTAAAGGGGCCCCCGACCCCGCTCCTTCCCTCCCCCGGCGGGTGCTTGGCTGCCGAGCCCGCAGCCCGCGGCGGCCGGAGGGCTAGGGGGCCACGGGAGGAAAGTTGCGGTGCCTTTGCGGCAGCTGGAAGCGAAACGCTGCGGCTTCATTTCGGTTTCTGTCTGAAGCGTGGGTAGGGAGGGTGAGCGTTCTGGGGACTCGGATGTGCTTTTATAAATAGAAATCGGAAATCGGCAGGGAATTGCTTGAAATATAACGTGAGAACTTATGTAGAAATTGAACTTACATATTGCTGCCCAAGCCGGCTGTGGTTTCTGATTTCTGTCATATGAAGACCAATCCCTGTAGCTTTTAGCAAATAGTTCCCCCAGTTTGTATTAAAACACAGTGATTTTCATCTTGATCACTGAGCATCATATTTGAGGTGGCACATGGCTGTTATATCTAAAGGAGAAAAAAAAACCCTATTGATTCTGTCCTGTTACATATGGAGAACATAAAGTCTGTGCATGTGAGGTAACTGCTGACATCCATGAGTCTCTGTTTCCTCCTTTTTCTATTGACTACTGTTCATTTAAGGAACAAAATAGCTGGAAAAAATTGTCTCAGATTTCTTTAATATAATCCATAAAGCTTACATTCATTTTGTGTACTTAAATAATAAAGTCTCTTTGTAGCATATTTATTTGCCTCTGTATGTAACATTCTATGGAGAAGTTTTTGAGACGCAAAGACCGTATTTACAGTACAATAAAATGGGATTCTAAAAGTTCCAAACGTGTGCTTTGCTTTAAAAAAAAACCCAAAAAACGAATCAGCATTTCAGGGTTATTTGAAGACCTTTGGGCACTCACAAGTTCAAACACTTTGTAACATGTCTGTTTAAAAACCAGTAATGGTTGCATTTGAATCTAGTATTAGGATTCAGACTCTGGTCTTACAGAATGAACTGTTAATTAATGGGTTTTGTTTTTCTGAATGTGTCAGCTTCTGTTCACTAGCTCTGATGTTCCTAAAAATGTTGAGGTCATCCTCGTTGAGTTCTTAGTATGAACGTTACTCCAACCAGAAAAAACGTAACTCTTGTGGGTTAAAAAGGGTTAGTGCATTTACCTCACAACAGCCTCCATGCTAAAATGAGCTTGAATGCGTAAGGCTCTATGTGCATTTACAACTTTTCCACCTGATCAGAAAGTTTCTCTCTGATGCTTCAGATATCCACAGCCTCTCCCATGGTATCTGACGGTTGTCAGCCCCTGAAGGATGCAGTAGCTTTGGTAGACACCAGAGTGCTCATCAAAGTTATGGACTAACTGAGTTAACTCTTACGGTTGCTTTTGCGTGGCTAGTAAAGTCACATGAAGTATAAACATGTGGTGTGCTGGGTTCTGCTCACACATGAAGAGACACCCATGCCTGCCCTGAAGAGTTAACAGTCCAAGATCAACAACATATAAAGGGCAGGGAAATAGATGTGCCCTCTCAGTAAGACTTTTACATGTATTAGTTTGTTTTATGACTAAATATGCTCTGACTGTCTCCATGCCCTATTCTATCCTTTGCTAGCAGTCTTTGGACAGCTGAGTATCAGACTTAGAACAACTGATCTCGAGTAGGGATTTCAAACCAAAGCTAATGGCTTTGTGGATTAGTTTAGGGAGGATGCTTCTTGGAGGAGATTGAAGCATTCAGGGAGACTCCCTGATGGTTCAAGGACAAGCAGCTGTGTCTAGAAGAGCAGAGATACCTGGATGGGATGGCACAGTCAGAGGACTAGGCAGTGAGGCTCTAGCTGTTGAATTTATGTAAAACAATGTAATTGTGTTTTGAATTGTATAAAGATAAAAGGAGAGAGAGATAAGCTGGAGAGAAGGAAGTCACATTAAGTCGGATCTTATTCCTTTAATTCCTGGATGAAAGCTTTAGCTGCAGAAAGGGCAGAAGTTATACAAGAGGGATGCAAGCCTTAGTTTGGGATTGCACAAAGGGAAATGAAGACGGACATTCAGGAGAACACAGAAGCAGAGCATGGCCTTTGCAGATCTGCAGCCTGCAGAACAGGCTTACAGTGGAGTCGAGCCAGAGGAGCATAATACAAGAAAAGGAGGTGAAATAAGGTAATTGAAGGCAAAAATGTCTGGGAAGTGATGGTTGGCAGATTTATAAAAGTTTATGTGTTTTTTTCCAGCGTTTGTTGAGGTTTTTCTTTAGCAACCTCCTTTGTTTTCTTCATTTGTTTAGTTTTGTTAGGTTTTTTTTTTTTTGGTGGGGGGAAGGAGGCATCGCTGTAACTGTTGAGTGACTTCTCTACATGCATGTTTTACTATTAAATAATGAAAAAATAGTCCATATACTCATCTAGAAACCCAGAATGTAATTGCTTAAGAAACAAAATTGATGTGCTCACTGTTGTAGTTGTCTAAGATTGCTGGACTTCAGAGCAAAGCACAAGGCAAATGTTGTAGTCTATTATATATTCATGCCATTAATGTTTTAACGTACATTATATAGTGGACATTGTAGAATTCATGTGACTTTGGGTTTCTACTTTTGATTCCATCGTGTTATAGAGTCACTACCAGTATCCGTGACATTCCTGTGTTTCAGTTTCTCTGTTCCCCAAAGAGGGACTATTAGCAGCTGCACAGCACTTAATCTAAAGGGTAATCAAGAGAAGATATATGTGAGAATATGCTAATATTGTCATGAATGCAATTCAAGATCTTAGCAATGGACACCGAATTTACTGTTGCATAAGTAAGCCTATTAGAAGATGAAGGTTCTTTATGGCAGGAGCATTCAGTGAAGGCTAAGCTAAGTTTTTTTGTGTTTAAATGAAAGTTCCTATTGTGGACATTTCTAAGGAACCTTTCCACTCCATGCCTCGAGCTGTATTTTGGTATTGTAAGAAACATACGGGAAATCACAAGTGTTTTAATACTCTTCTTTAGTCAATACTGTGCAGGCATGTTCTCCATGGAAATGTGGGCCTGCATAAGTGTTCCTGCCTACTGCCTGTAATTGTTCTTCCATCTCTGAAGGAGAGCAAAATAAAACACAAGGTATGCGTTTCCAAACTTGAGTTTGTACTCTACATCAGTACCTGATTTGGAGGACTTCTTTCTTAATAATTTTCAATGGGTGAAGTGTTTTGGTTGTGAAGATGAGATTGATTTTCTAGCTGGAGATTAGAGTATCAGACCTCCATATGCCTTCCCTCAACTCTAAGTGTAAATTAATAGGGATCTTGCTCTCAGCTGGAGACTACCACTCAACACCAGCACATAAAGGTCCCCGTTCTTCTTGAGGCCAGCACTTTGTGGTCATGGTAAGAGGTCTGCACACATGATCTGAGGGACAGCATTGTTCTTCTTGTGGCTTTAATTATGTTATCCTTCTTTTTATGTATTTCTAGAGGCTGATATGGAAATTTGTGAGATTTGCCATGATTTTCAGTGTGAACAAGGTCCTGACTCTGTAAGCTGCTATGGACGTAGATTCACACATCTCTGCTGGCTGTGCAAAACATTCATAGCGTAGCAGCTTCTGCTTAACAACCTGTTTTTTTGCTTGCTGGTTGCCAGTTGTCTGGAAGGTTCACTGTATTCCTTATGAGTGATTAGAAGGACTGACCTGGTTGTAGGGAGGGAGCATGGTGTGAAGGGGCTCCAGGACTGACCTGTGCCTGGAAGGAGTTGTGTTGTTTGCAGTCCAGAGTGACTCAGTCATTTTCAGCAGTCTTTATTTGTCTTATGCAGTTTGTATTTCTGAACTATTGGTGACCAAATGATACAATTCTATACATCAGTTTGGAAGTGTGGCTCACAGATTGCTTAAGTAACTTCTTATTGCTAATAATCAATTGCAGGGAAGCTCTGCTCTGTCATGCTGAGCTTGCACAGCTCTGCTTGCACTTGCAGCTGAAATCTTCATTACTTATTCAGGTGTTGCCTAGTCTTTGCTATTGGATTCTCTAATGTCTTGGCCTCTTGCTCTAGTCTTTGAACAGGATATCCTGATTCTCTGCAGGTGCTTCTGAAACTTCTGACTTTGTTTAAAACATTCTCACTTTCTGGTCTGATGCTGTCAACTTCTGTTGATGTTATAAGTTCCTGTGTTCAGTAGCTCAAACCATCAGTGTTTTTTTTTATTGTTTAAAAATGAGTTCTGACTGTTGAGGGGCTTATGAAACATCTCTAGACTTTGGGACTGATGGATGGTGACTGTTGGAAAGAGAAGTGTCATGAGAATTTGCCCAGTTTTAAGAATTCTTTTCTGCCCACTTAATCAAATTACTGCTGCCTCTTGGAGAAAGTTAGGCACAATTTTCCACCAGCTTGTCACAAAACCAAAGAGGGAGGATGCTAAACTGTGATTGAGGCTATAGTAAGTAATAACATACATTTGGTTTACTGCCAGGTTTGGTTTTCTTCCTGCCTTGTTGCCTCTTTTCCCTCTTTCCTTAAGGTTTATAAGGCATTAGACAAAATGTGTGTGGTACTTTATGTTCAGTGTATGCAGTTCTGCAGTATTCATGTAAGGATCAGATTCTCACCAACCTAGCAATATTTTATGAATTGTGAATGACAGTTAAAATATCAGTACTGTTGATGCAGGTCCTGCCTTCCTGAAGAGGGAAAAAAAGTGCTTAAAGCCAAACACAGCTGTAGACTGCTGCATGATGCCAGGGCATTGAGAGTGCCTTTTGATTTCTGATGTAGGACGCACTTTCAGATGCACCTTTTTTTATAAGATATATATATTCATAGTGTGTTTTGGTATTTTATAGGCAAAGAATATTTCCTATTTCCCAT